CTCTATTTCTTTTTTCAATGTCCTTTAGTTTTCTGTGAAGAGGTCCTTTACTTCTTTGGTTAAATTTATTCCTAGGTATCTTAATTTTTTGCTGCGATGGTAAGTGGGATTTTTATTTTTATTTTTTATTTTTAGTTTCTCTTTCTGTGAGTTCATCATTGGTGTATGAGAATGCTGTTGATTTCTTGATATTAATTTTATATCCTGCTACTTTGGCAAATTCATTTATTAAGTCCAGTAGATTTTTGATGGAGTCTTCAGGGTTTTCTATGTACAATATCATGTCATCTGCAAATAATGACAGTTTCACTTCCTCCTTTCCAATTAGGATCCCTTTTATTTTTTCTTCATGTCTAATTGCTGTAGCGAAGACTTCTAGTACTATGTTGAATAAGAGTGGCAAAAGTGGCTATCCCTGTCTTGTTCCCATTCTTAAGGGGAATGCTTTTAGTTTTTGCCCATTGAGTATGATGTTGGCTGTAGGTTTTTCATATATGACTTTTATTATGTTGAGATATGATCCCTCTATTCCCACATTGCTGAGCATTTTTTATCAGAAATGGGTGCTAGATTTTGTCAAATGCTTTTTAGCATCTATTGATATGATCATATGATTTTTATCTTTCATTTTGTTTATGTGTGTATCACATTTATTGATTTGAGAATATTGTGCCATCCTTGCATCCCTGGGATAAATCCCACTTGGTCATAATGAATAATCTCTTTGATGTATTGCCGGATCCGATTTGCTAATATTTTGTTCAGGATTTTGGCATCTGTGTTCATCAGGGATATTGGCCTGTCATTTTCTTTCTTTGAAGTGTCTTTATCTGGTTTTGGAATGAGGATTATGCTGGCCTCATAAAATGAGTTTGGACATGTTCCATCTTCTTGGATTTTTTTTGGAATAGTTTGAGGAGAATAGGTATTAGACCTTCTCTGAATGTTCAGTAAAACTCTCCTGTGAAGACATCAGGGCCTGGGATTTTGTTTACTGGGAGTATCTTACTTAACATCTTCAATTTCCTTTGTTGTTGTTATTAGTCTGTTTAAGTTTTCTATCTCTTCTTGGTCCAGTTTTGGGAGGCTGTGTGTTTCTAGAAATGTGTCCATTTCTCCTAGATTGTCCAATTTGTTGGCGTCTAATTATTCAGAGTATGTTTTGATGATCCTTTGTATTTCTGTGGTGTCAGTTGTTACTTCTCCTATTTTGTTTCCTGATTTTGTTTATTTGGTTTCTCTCTTTTTGTTTCTTGTTGAGTCTGGGTAACAATCCATCAATCTTGTTTATCTTTCCAAACAAATAGCTTTTTGTTTCATTGATCTTTTGGATTGTTTTTTGGTCTCTATGTTGTTTATTTTTGCTCTTACCTTTACTATTTCCTTTCTCCTACTAGTCCGGGGTATTTCTTTTTTCTTTACTTTCTAGTTCTTTAAGTTGTAGGGTTATAAAGTCAATTAGAAATTTTTCTTGTTTCTTGAGGTGGGCCTGTAGTGCTATGAACTTTCCTCTCAGGACTGCTTTTGCTGCATCTCATAGATTTCGTGTTATTGTGTGTTCATTTTCATTGGTTTGAAGGAAGTTTTTAATTTTTTCCTTGACCGCATTAGTAACCCATTTGTTGTTTAATAACATGCTATTTAGCCTCCAAGTGTTTGAATGTTTTTTATTGTAATTGAGTTTTAGTTTCATGCCACTGTGATCTGAGAGGATGCTTGATATAATTATATATTTTTTGAATTTGTAGACACTTGCTTTGTGTCCTAACATGTGGCCTATCTTTGAGAATGTCCAATGTGCACTTGAGAAGAATGTATATGCTGCAGCTTTGGGTTGAAATGTTCTGTAAATATCAATTAAGTCCAACTGATCTAGTTTGTCCTGTAAGGACTCCATGTCCTTGTTAATTTTTTGTCTAGAAGGTCTACCAGTGGTGTCAGTGGCATGTTAAAGTCATCCACTATAATTGTATTACTATTGATCTCTCCCTTAAAGTCCTCCAGAAGTTTTTAAACATATTTTGGTGCTCCCATATTTGGTGTGAATATGTTTACCAGGGTTATAACCTTTGTTGGATATATCCTTTTAATATTATGTAGTGACCTTCTCTGTCTCTTATTATGGCCCTCAACTTGAAGTCTATCTTGTCAGAGATGAGTATTGCTACACAAGATTTTCTTTCATTTCTATTTGCTTGGAAAAAATTTTTCTATTCCTTCACTTTCATCCTTTGTGAGTCTTTTGTTGTGAGGTGGGTCTCTTGTAGACAGCATACATATGGGTCATGCTTTCTTATCCAAACAACTACCCAATGTCTTTTGATTGGAACATTTAAGCCATTTACATTTAAGGTAATTATTGATAGATAGTTATTAGTTGCCATTTAAATTTTATGCCTGTGTTCCTCTCTCTCTCTCTCTCTCTCTCTCTCTCTCTCTCTCTCTCTCTGTGTGTGTGTGTGTGTGTGTGTGTGTTACCTCTTCTTCTTCCAAAATGCCTTCAGCATTTCTTGCAATGCTGGTTTGGTGGTGGTAAATTCCTTTAGCTTTTTTTTTCCCCATGAAGCCATTTATTTCTCCTTTAATTTTAAATGATAGTCTTGCTGGATAGAATAGTCTTGGATTCAGACCCTTGCCTTGCATTACTTTGTACACTTCATGCCACTCCCTTCTGGCCTGCATTGTTTCTATTGAGAAATCAGCTGACAGTCTAATGGGAGCTCTCTTGTAGGTAACTTTCTGTCTCTCTTTTGCTTCCTCTGAGATTATTTCTTTGTCTTTAATGTTTGCAATTTTTATTTTGATGTGTCTAGCTGTGGGTCTTCTGGGGTTCATCTTGCTTTGGACTCTCTGTGTTTCCTGGACTTGTGTGACTTTTTCCTTCACCAGCTTAGGGAAGTTTTCTGTCATCATTTTTTCAAACAGGTTCTCTATCCCTTTCTCTAATTCTTCTCCTTCTGGTACCCCTATAATGCGAGTGTTGTTACATTTTGATTGTCCCACAGCTCCCTTAAACTCTCCTCCTACTTTTTAAACTTTTTTGCTGCTCTATTTGGGTGCCTTTCTCTACTTGTCTTCTAAGTTGCTGATTTGGTGTTCAGCTTCTTCTGATCTACTATTGAACCCTTCTAAGGTATTTTTCATAACAGCTATGTTATTCTTTATCTTCTTTTGATTTTTATGCATAGCTTCTACCTCTTGTTTTAAGCTAATGTATTTCTTAGTGAGCACTTCATAATTCTTATTAAGTTGCTTGTAGTTCTCAACATATTGTTTGAGCACCCTTAAAATCATTGCTTTGAATTCTTGATCTGACAAGTTGCTTTCTTCTAGTGTCTGTAGTTCCTTTTCTAGTGATTCCTCTTTTTCTTTCCTTTGAGTGTTCTTTGTCTCCCCATTTTAGTAGCTTTAGACCCAGTGAGGAATATTTGGATGTGTAGGCAGCTCACTGTGTATCAAATAAGGTTACTGTGACTCCCAGACTGTTCTGTTGCATGTAGCCTCTTGCCTGTTGTAGATCTTGGAGGACTGACTACTGGGGGCTCGTATTGGTGTGTCCTGGTAGGTGCTGCTGCTGGGTTGTATGGGTCCCTCTGAAGCTGTGTTCCCAGCTGGTCACTGGTGCCACCTGTAGCTGTATTGCTCAGGCTCTGCTGGATCCGCACTCCCTGCCTGCACCTTGGGCAGCTGGTCACACAGGCCCCTCTTGAGCCCCAGCTCCCAGCCGGACCCATGGGCAGCTGTGTTGCACAGGCTTTAATGGAGCCTGGTTCCCTGCCAATCTTGTGGGCAACTGAGTTGTACAGGCCCCGTTGGATCCCCTGCTTCCTGCTGATCCCATAGGGAGCTGGATTGCACTGGCTACTCTCGAGCCCCAGCTTCGCTCCACCCTTATGGGTCGCTGGGTGGCACAGGTCCATCCAGAGCCCTGGCTTTTCACCGCTCTTGTGGGCTGCTGGGTTGCACAGGTCCCTCTGGATCCCAAAATTCCAACCGCTCTTATGGGCAGCTGTGTTGCACAGGCCCCTGTGGAGCCCCATATCCCACTGCTGGTGGCTGGGGAGTGCTGTTGCCCAGTGGGGCTTAGCTCTTGCTCAGCCTTTGCTGTAGTTTTTGGGAATGGTTCTCTGCTGTGGTCTGTGCCTCTGTTGCCTAGGAATGGATGTCTGCTCCCCAGTCTCTGTTGTTGGGGGTATATCTCGACTCTGATCAGGCTGCTACTGTAGGGGATGGTGCTGGGCTCCTGGCTGTTTGCAGTTTCCGCAACTGGCTCCTTGGCAGCTTCACTACTGTGCACTGGTCTGTGTTGACACAGGCTGTCCACTGGTCTGATGGTTGCTGAGCCCTAGCCACTCCCACTGCCTTCTCCCAGGGAAGACCTAGGATCTTCCAAAATGGTGGGACCTCCTTGTGGCGCAGGGAGAAGTGCCCTGAAGGGTCGCTTAGTGCGGTATGCAGCTGCTCCCATCCTCAGCACAGGAACCTTCTGCTCCGTGTCTCTGCACTGCACGAGTTTGGTCGTCCACCTACATGTCCACTCACTCTCTCTCACACATTAGCTAACTCTCTCATGCACTTACCCTCCCTCCAGTCCTGCCTGCCACCATCTTCCACCTATCCTCTCTCTTGCTATAATTCTTTACAAGTATAAGAGTGTAACAGTGAGTTCAGTTCACTGGTGTCAACTGTTACGTTGATGTCCACGTGTCAACCCCTATAGGGTTAATGCCAAGTGGACTTGTTCCATCTATTCAAACTATCATTGCAAAAGTAAAATCTAAAATCTATGTACTGTTAGAAACACAGGTGTGGGGGTTAGTGGTAAAGGGGGCCAATATATGGTGACAGAAGATGGTTTGACTATGAGTGGTGGGCACATAGTGCAATATACAGATCTTATAACAGAAATCCACACTTGAAACCTATATGATCCTATTAACCAATGTCAATTCAATAAATTTAATAATTTCTTTTTAAATCTTAGGAAAAAAAAAGAAACACAGAGAGGAGCAAGCCCTCAAATGCCTGAAGATAAAGAAAAGTACTTAGGTATTTTTATAAAGCTGCTTACATTGTAAAATGTGTTCATTTAAACTGAATTCTCAACATTTTTCAACTCTGTGTAGAGATGGTCAGACTCCAAACAGCTACTGTTTCACATTGAAGCTTTTTGATTTTTCCAGTGTCCATCCAAATCATGAGAAGAAAGTCATTTTGAAAGAAACCATTATTCTCTGAGTTAATATGCTTAGTTGGGTGAATTTTCAAATTAGCATAACCTGCTGATACATTTGTTGATCTGAACAACTTGAATTATTCCTACAAAACAGTATAACACAGGCAAGAAAAAGTGTACAAAATGACCATAAAACTAGATCTGGAGAGGGGCATTATTTGATTATGGCATGTTTGATTCCTTTTGTTAGTTGAAAAAATTGCTTTTGCAATCAAAGATCTTGCTTAGAATTTTGAACTAAAAAGAGACTCAAAAACTTACTAAAGAAGATTCTCATAAGTATTGTTTCCAATCCCACTGGCAGCATCGAGTAAATAAGAAAAATTTTTTTCTATCATTTTTGGTGTCATTACCAAATAATTAAACACAAGTATAGTTTCTGGCAATTTCTTCAGATGGCTTCTAACTAAAATTTTTAACAAAAATCATTTACATCACTTTTGTTAGGAACTACCAAAAGAGTAAAAATTACATGTAATCATCTCTCAAACTATGAATGCACATTAATTAAATTTCTTGGTGTAAGTTTTACCCTTATTATTTTTTCTTAAGCTATGTGAAATTGATCTGAATATTTTTATTTCCTAACTGATTTTAAACATATTTCTTCTTCTCATTGGAGAACATTTAAGTAAACTGATTAAATATACCACTGCATGGGTTACTTCTTTATTTCCATTTATGGTATGTGATACTAGTTTTCCACATAGAAATATAAATGTTTCTTTTAAAATACATTTATATTAGTAAAAATGAGTCAACTTAAAGAAAATAGTGTACACTGAAATTTGAGAAACACTGACATAATAAAATTAAAAGTGCTCCCCTCTTCGGTGTGACTCAGTTGAGAGTTTTCTTGAGCACCAAAAATTTGCCGGTTCGAATCCCAGTCCGGGCACATACCCAGGTTACTGCTTTGTTCCCTGGTCAGTGTTTCTCTTTCTCTCTCTCCCTTTCCCTTCCTCTCTCTCTAAAATCAATAATAACCTGTCCTGGCCAGTTTGGCTCAGCGGTTGGAGCGTCGGCCTGCGGTACAGAGAGACCCGGGTTCGGTTTCCGCTAAGGGCACGTACCTCGGTTGCAGTTTGTCCCCGGCCCTGGTTGGTCATGCGGGTGGCAGCCACTCGATGTGTCCCTTCAGGTCGATGTTTCTCTCTCTCTCTCCCTCCCGCTCTAGCTGAACAAAAAAATGGAAAAATGCCTCGGGTGAGGATAAAAATAAATAAATAAATAAATAAAATAAAATAAAATCAATAATAACCTGTTAAAGATTTATTTAAAGTACTGTACTTGCCTAAATGCCAGGCAAATAGTAAATGCATGATGAAAGGTAGCTACTATTTTTAAAACTTTCTGTGTGTTTGTTAATCCTAATTTTCCATTGATTTTAGAGAGAGTGGAGGAGGGAGGGAGAGAGAGAAAGAGAAACATCCATGTGAGAGAGACAAATCAACTGGTTGCCTCCTGCATGACCCGGACCAGGGCCAGGGATCAAAGCTGGAACCCAGGTAGGTGCCCTTGACTAGGAATCAAACTTGCAACCCTTCAGTCCCTGGGCTGATGCTTTAACCACTGAGCCAAACCAGCCAGGGTACTATTTTTAAAACATTTTTACTTATATTTTTAGTTAAGTGAAATTCTACATTTATATTATTTAATTTGCAACTTAAAATTTATTTAACAAATAGATATTGCCCGGCCACACATGCCAGACCCTGGGAATTCAAAGACCAAAATGAAGGAAACAGCCCCTGCTTCCAAGGAGCTATCATTTCAGTGAAGAGAGGTATACTAAACAACTAATAACAACATAATTTTTTTTTAGTTTAATTTAATTCAATTTAATGTTTTTTTATCACCATGTATCCCCTCTCCCACACTCCACCCCCCACAACAGTTGTCCATGTTTATGAGTTCTCTCTCTCTTTTTTTTATGCTCAATCCCTCTACCCCCATCAACATAATGTTTTATTTCTTATAATGGAGCTGACAGAGTAGGCAGTTAGACAGGCATGAGCAGAGGAGAAGTGATAGGGCAGGTACTGAATGTCACCAGGTGCCTAGCAACAGGCAAAACTAGGGGAAACAACTGTTATAGGCTAGGACCTTGCCCTCAGGGTGACCTTTCCGCCTGTAGCATGTTAGTCATGTGTAGACCCCCTTAGAGGAAGAACAAGGAGGCTGGAGAATAGCTTCATAGGATTCCCATACAAGCCCTTGCTCCACCACACCCTTAAGCATTAAGCCCTCTGCAGTGAGGTTCTGATCAATGTCAAATAGTCTTAGAAAAAGCCTCAGATCTGCTGACCACAGAGACAGAGTTTTTGTTGAACTAGATAACATCTAGGCCTCAGTTGTGTTTTAGCTCCAGGCCCAGAAAAGCAGCAAAACCAGATGAAATGACATCATGGCTGACATCAGGACCAGATGCAATGACTAATGACCCCCTTCCTTAGTGCCAAGTAATCAGTAGAGACCTTGAACTTGAAAGGGCACATCCGGAAACTGATAAATATTTTTTTGAGATACTCCCCTGACACCTCCCCTAAATTCCTGCCTTTAGAAAACATATAAAAACCCTTAAGGCAAGGGACACAGGGCTCTCTCTCTCTCTCTCTCTCTTCCTCTCTCTCTCACCTCTCCTCTCCCCACTTCTTTCCTTAGGTGTGTATCCAAGCACCCCCCCCCCTTTTTTGTCTCTGTAACTTGTTTTGAGTCTATGCAGCCCAGCTGGTTTATTTCTTCTGCCTCTGTGACTTTCTAAATAAACTTTCCTTTTCACTAGAGTTCTTGGCTCTGAATTCTTTCTTAGCCAAACTCTTATGCGAGGTCTAACTCCATCATTAACAGAGCTATTTACAAAGTATTATAGGAACACAAGGGAAGACCCCCTAGGTCTGCTCAGAAGGCTCAGGGAATTCTTTCTTTTTTTTTTATTCTCACCCGAGGACATTTTTGCACTTCTTCAGATAGAGCAGGAGGGAGAGAGAGAGGAAGAGAGAGAGAGAAACATCGATGTGAGAGAGACATATCGAGTGGTTGCCACCCACACGACCCCAACTGGGGCTGGGGACAAACTACAACCGAGGTACGTGCCCTTAGCAGGGACCGAATCCGGGACTCTCTCTCTGGTCCACGGGCCTACGCTCTAACTGCTGAGCCAAACCAGCCAAAAAAGCTCAAGGAATTCTTTACAGAAAAACAATTGAGCAGAAGTGTGAAAGGACCCAAAAGCAGTTCCATACCCCAGGGATTAAAGCTTATGAAAGGAAACAGATGGGAGAAGAATCTGAATAGAAACGCAGGGGCAACCCTGAGGATCTTTGTATACCACTTGGAAAAGTTTCAGTTGTATCCTGTGGCCACTGAGTAACTTTAATCTGGGAAGTAAAATGATCAGATTTGTATATCAGAAAAATTACTCAAGCAGAAGCAATGTGGAGAAGCCATTGAAGAGGACAAAGCTAGAGGCAGGAGAGTGGCAAGTACAGCTGATGCAGACCAAACCAGAGCAGGGCCAATGGAGAGGATAGGCAGATCAGAGCAACTGGCTGACAAAGAGTCAGCCAGACTTGGTGATGATTGGAATATGGAGGGGAGGGGAAAGCTCTCTTCTGCCCTTGCCCGAAACCTACCAGATTTCTAGATAACCCTATAGTTAATTAGACTTTCTCTTAGTCAAACCAGAATAATATTCTTTTTTTTTTTTTTATTCCTCACCCAAGGTCATTTTTCTAATTTTTGTTCAGATAGAGTGGGAGGGAGAGAGAGGCAGAGAGAGAGAGAGAGAGAGAGAGAAACATCGACGTGAAAGGGACACATCGAGTGGCTGCCACCCGCACGACCCAACCAGGGCCGGGGACAAACTGCAACCAAGGTACATGCCCTTAGCGGGAACCAAACCCAGGTCTCACTGGACCGCAGGCCGACGCTCCAACCGCCGAGCCAAACTGGCCAGGGCCAGAATAATATTCTTGTAGCCACACTCTGACACTCTCATGCACAATATCAGGAACCATATGATTTCCAAATAAAGTAACTGTTGATTCCCTTGTCTTTGGAAATCAGTATTCCATTCACAATGCTGCAAATGCCTGCTGATGAGTGTGACTTGAACAGATGCTAAAATGTTTGTGGTAGGTAGGGGGCTTTGTGAACAATGTTAGAATCTTCCCATTATAATTTTCTAACACCATATACCTGACATCTTGGCTAATTGAAACTGTTAGATATCATCCGCTATAAATCCTCCTCACATGGCAAATGTAGCATAAAATTATGTCAATTGAAGCAAAACAAAATATATAACAAACACTGGCAAAACCAGTAACTATGGTATCAGCTTTGCATATGTAGTACGAAATCAGGTTTTCTTCTCGGAACACATGGCCAATTCTTCTATTTTAAGTGTAATGCACCAAACAAAATAAAGAATATTTACTAAATTTGTGTTGTAAAGTAAAAATTCACTGATTATGACAACAGCAATAAGGATCACAAAAAGATCTTAAGGTTGTCTCTGGTTTCAGATAAGTGGTTTTGCACATCAAATATTGAAGAGAACACTCGCTGCTCAGGGCTAATCGCCAAAGAAGTAAATTTTCCCACCCTCTGCAGTGCTTCTCCATTTCTTTGCCCTCACTCAATTAAAGGCTTAGGTAATCCTGGATAATAACTAACCTGCATTGGGTGTTTACTGTGAGCTAGATATAGTCTTTACATATATTACTTCAATTAATCATTTTGACAATCCTTTGAGGCAAGTACTATTATTACTCACACTTTTGGGCTAAGGAAACCTAGACATAGAGAAGTTTAGTATTTGCTGAAATTCAGAAAGCTGGGAGTGGCAGAGTCAGAATTCAGACCTCAGTACTCTTAATTGTTTTTTTTTTTGTACTGCCCCTAATTGGGAGGAGATGCTTGGTGACCACTGACCGGCCTGGAGTCACATGTATACCTTAAGCAGAGTCTCCTGCATGAGAAACCAGAAAACCTATAATATTCTTTGTATCAAAAATAAGAAAATTACTTTAAAATCATGATAAAAACTATGCAAGACTCTCCAGACACTAACTTCAATTTTATGAACTTAATGAATTATAAAGCAAGGCTTCACATTGACTCTGTGCTGACTGCACTATTTTACAACTCCATGGGGTAGATTAACTTGTGGATTTTTTTGTCTAGTAGAGATGCATATAATTTCTGTCCAGTGGAAAAGAAAATGCCAAAGATTACAAGTGATGGCCTTGCAGGATATTAATCTGCTTATAAATCCCCAGCTCTTCAAATGCTCCTTGAGCCCATTTTTTTTTGTTAATCCTTACCCCAGGATATTTTTTACATTTTTAGAGAGAGTGGAAGGGAAGGAGGGAAAAAAGAAGGGAGAGGGAAGATTGACTGGTTGCCTCCTATACGTGATTGACAGGGGCCAGAGACTGAACCTGCAACCCAGGTACGTGCCCTTGACCAGGAATTGAACCCATGACCCTTCAATGTTTGGGCCAACACACTAACCACAAAGACACATAAGCCAGGGCCCCTTGAGCCGATTTTAACATCTCATTTGTTCCCTCATTAACTAATGGGTTTAGTAACATTTTTTGGCATGAGCTTATTTTATGTTTGCAAGATAGTCAAGATTTTACCTTTCTGAAAATTTACTTCAGCCCTTTCAGAGGTCATCTCATTGAGATGTCCAAATGAACTTACCTGACAGTACCAGTTAAACTGCTTTGCTTGAGAAGTGCACTTATTGGTTGCTTAAGCCCAGACAGTTTTCTTGGCTTCCAGAGCCATTCTCAAGTAGTGATAAAACTAACTGTACTGATTCTAGTGGGCTTTTTCCCCACCTCTGATTTGGTGGTTTTGTTCTTGTTTCTGGTTCACGCAAGGCCAAGCAATTGTACCCCACTGATGGCAGCAATGATTAGAAGATTTGCTGATATGGTCTGATAATTTGGGGATCTCTACTGGATGAATGAGAGAGACATATTCTCTACTAGATGACAGATGATAGAGAATCTGGTTTGTCTTTGCTTGTTTGTCTTTGTGAGCTCAATTCAATCAACCAGGTATTTGATACCCACTATGAATGAACTCTTTGAGATCAGGATAAGTGAGCCTTTGTGTTCTGTTTATTTTTGAGCAATGGCTGAAGTCATTATACTGAAGCTATAAGCTCTCTTTGTGTTTATGTCTATAATTTAGCATAGCCTTTACCTCTAATTCTGCAAATGTATAAATATTTCCCTATATATAGAAGTTGTTAATAATTACCTCTCTTAAGTTAAGTTTAGGCACCTATTTATTTCTATCATATATATATATACATATATATATACATATATATATATACATATATGTATATATGTATATATATATATATCTCCACATCTATCTTATAGAGATAAATAGGTGCCTAAACAAATATTCACAAAACTTACAGAAAATAAACTGTACCTTTTTTAAAACTCATCTTTGTTGTTGAATGTATTACAAATGTTCCCCCTTTTTTCCCATTGACCCCCTTTGTCTTCCCCCTGCCCCCTTCCTGCCTTCCCCACACTATTGTCGGTGTCCATTAGTTATGCATATATGCATAGAAGTTCTTTGATTTATCTCTTCCTGCCTTCCCTCCCTCTTCCCTTTGATGTTCATCAATCTAACAACCAATTTGTATTTCTTTTTTTTTTTGGTACGTGCCCCTAGTGGGAACCGAACCCAGGACTCTCTGGTCCCCAGACCAACGCTCCAACTGCTGAGCCAAACCAACGAGGGCCAA